CCTTTTACAAAAATATATATATTATTATATATTTAGTATGACACTTTTTATTTGTGCGACTTATCTGTGTCATATTATAATAATTTTTTAACTTACAACATATTACTACATAAAAAATAAATATATCAGTTGATAAATAATTTTATTTTTCTATAATATTATTATTCTTTATTATTATAAAGATCAATATAATTTATTTATTTCATATATACAATATGGATGTCAAATCGAATATCATCAAAAGATGATTAACTTGATATGTAAAACCGATAAGAAATACAAAAGTTATCAACTTTTAAAATACATTTAAAATTTAATAGCTAATTGAAGGAAACAAATCAAAGTCAGGGATATATTAGTCACTTAGTGTTTCACTATATAAAATTACAAATAATTAAAAGGGTTATATTAGTACAAGTGATATTAAAATACCTAAGTTAGATAAATAATATTTATGGAATGTCCGAACTTAGATTATTAATTATTAATATATCAATATTATTTGTCCAAACCTAATTACGAAGCATGATTCTTCGCCAAGTACACCAGAATCAGTCACGTAGACTCAGCGCATTCGGAAATTATATATAGGAAGGATAGTTAAAGTTAAATGAAAACAAAAGAAAAAGAAATCAAATTGCATTAAAACTAAATGAAAAAAATATATAAAAAGAATAAAAAAAAGGCCCGTTGAAAACAAAAAATAAAAATCATAAAAAAAATAAAAAAGGCTCAAAAGAGTCGTTCAATGTGATGAACGAGGACAAGCACCCCACCAATTAATAAACGCACGCAACGCATTGAACGGGGCAAGGGTCATTTAAACGACAAGAATGAACGGTGCAATGCGAATACTCTTAATGAATAAATTCTGCCGTTTCGAAAAAAAAAAACACTTATGTACAAAAGTATATTTTTTACCAGAAAATAAAAAAAAAATTACAGTTTTGGACAAAAAAATACACAAACAAATGAGAGTGGAACAAAATCAAAAGCACGTATTTAGTGAATACGTTTTTTTATTGGAAAACGTATTTTCAAAATACGTTTTCCTTTGTAAAAAAATTTGTAAAACGTATTCACTAATTACGTTTTACAATTGAATTTGTACTGAAAACATATTTAGTGAACACGTGCTTTCTATTTTGTTCCAATTTTTTTTTCTACTTGATTTTTTATATATAAATTACCCTACAAAAGTATGAAAAATATTTAATTGCAAATAATTATTGCTTTCAATATAAAAAGCTTCTTGTGGGCCTATCTCTTCTTTCCATAGAAATCCTTTGCCTACTACTACTTGCTATTAATACATTTTTTTAGAGAGATGTTACAGTTCCATTACTGAATCATTCCGTCGGAGTTTGTAACTGTTAAATCAACTATCCTCGATAGTTATATGATGATCTAACGGTTATAAACCCTATCAAAATGGTTCCGTAACGGGACCGTAGCATTTTCCATTTTTTAATTTAGAGGGGAAAAAAAATAAAATCAGAAAAATTTCTAATTCCTCCGCTTGCTATGTTTGACCACACAAAACGCCTCTTCTTTCTCTCTCTTTCTTTACACCCAACAAACCATTAGAAAATAAATCTACACTTCACACTTCATACCATAAAATACCACAAATCCCATTTTTTTTTCCTCCTAAAAAATTGTGAATATTCCAATTATTATATATTTTAGTAGTTGAATCTTGATTCATCTCTCTCTCTCTCTCTATAGAGATAAGTGAGCGAGAGAGAAAGGGGGAGATAGATTTTTGCGAGAGAGAGAATCTCTGATAAACCTTTCTCTACTCTCTCTCTCTCTCACACACACACACACACGAGGCGAGAAAGGAAAAGAAGATGGTTTGGGACCGCCGTGAAAAGAAGGAGCAGCCATCGCCGCTCCCCTCGCAGAAGGCCCGTGATTCAGGGGATTCGGGCCATGCACGCCTGCACGAGCTCGGCTACAAGCAGGAACTCAAGCGCGACCTCTCGTAATCCCTCCATTTCTTGTTTTTTTTTTCTTGATAATGGAGTATATCTTTAATTAATTTATTTTTTTGAATTTTTTTTGGGGTTTTTATTTTTTTTTCCGGGAACGGCAGAGTTCTGTCGAACTTCGCCTTCTCGTTCTCCATAATATCTGTGCTGACCGGCATCACCACCGTGTACAACACCGGGTTGACCTACGGTGGGCCCCTCTCATTTGTCTACGGATGGCTGGTCGCCGGCGCATTCACAATGTTCGTCGGCTACTCCATGGCCGAGATTTGCTCCGCCTACCCGACCTCCGGCGGGCTCTATTATTGGAGCGCCAAGCTCGCGGGCCCGGGCTGGGCCCCCTTTGCCTCCTGGATCACTGGATGGTAATTCCAATTGCTGCTGCTATTATGGGTTCTCGTAAAAATTTGATCTTTAATTGTTTTTTTTTTTTAAGTTTTTTCTATATAATTGCTTGTGTTGATTGGAGGTTGACTAATTGATTGGGGAACTGTTATTAATTCCCATGTTTTCTTTGTGTTCTGTTTGCATTTAATGCTTAGATAATGAAGGTTGCTTGGTTGTTTTTTCAACTATGGACTTTTTTGATAAAAAATTCTACGGAGCGTCCGAGCCATCAGATGGTTTTCTTAAGGAGCCATTCACCACTTAATGTATCGACACCTATCCAAATTATATTTATTGTAGGACACGTGTCAACACACTATTGGTGAATAAGTATGGAAGGCTCCATAAGTCGAGCCATCCAAGGACTTCATAGCAAAACTACAAAAAAATATATCCTTCCTTGGTCAAACAAAAATATCTAAATATCTTGAGAGCAGTTGTCCTAATTTGTTAATTATCAAGCTAGTTATCCTAAAATTCAATTATCAAGCTAATATGTGCATATGGGAAGATTTTATTCTCAGTGGCTGCATAAAGTAGAGGCAAAATTTTAGCCTTGGAATAAATACTATTTGCAGTAATTCATAACTGAAGTTGATAATTTGTCTTATCGGCTGTCGCTTCTAGTGATTCTGCTTACGGTTTGTGGATGATTGAAAAGCTGATTATATAGAACCATACAAACATAGTATTAACTAGCTTTTTGCACGATTGATATATCATCGAATACTTTTTCCGATCATCGAAGCTAAAACAATTCTTCGTTTTGGCACTTTTATGCAGGTTTAATATTGTTGGCCAGGTACACTTTTCAACCCCTTCTTAGTTTTCCATCCTCGAAAATTTCTCGTTACTTCATTTGTGATTTAACGATATATATCTCTTCATACTCGTATATTTTGTTTTTCCTTCTGCAGTGGGCAGTCACGACGAGTGTCGATTTTTCACTGGCACAGTTGATTCAAGTGATAATCCTCCTCAGCACGGGTGGGAACAATCGAGGGGGATATATGGCATCTAAGTACGTTGTTATTGCAATCCATGCCGGTATTTTGCTCTTGCATGCTGCCCTTAACAGCCTTCCGATATCGTGGTTATCCTTTTTCGGACAATTTGCTGCCGCATGGAATGTTTTAGGTACTTACTAGTGCATTGTGACCTCAGGGCTGTGAATTTAGTATTTTTTTTTCTTTTCTTTTAAATTTTTGCTTTTTTTTTCAGGTGTTTTTGTTCTAATGATACTCATTCCATCGGTCGCAACTAAAAAAGCAAGTGCCGAGTATGTTTTCACCCACTTTAACACGGACAATGGAAGAGGTGTCAACAGTAGATTTTACATATTCATTCTAGGACTTTTGATGAGTCAATATACCCTAACAGGGTATGATGCATCTGCACACATGGTAAGTGTAGTATTTTGCTTCATAAAATCGCATAGTCGAATGTTGAATAGTTTGAAAATTTCATTCATCTAGTTATATGTCTAGTACATTTATGATTAAATAAATCAAATTTAATCTGTTTGGTTGAATATGCAATTTTATTTTACATTTTCGAACTAACCTTTTGGATTTTTTTTTTAATTTTTTTTGTTAGACAGAGGAGACTAAGAACGCGGATGAGAATGGGCCAAAGGGAATAATAAGCTCCATTGGCATATCTATAATTGTGGGGTGGGGTTACATACTTGGAATCACTTTTGCAGTGACCGATATCCCGAGCCTTTTGAACCCGGAAAACGAGGCAGGTGGCTATGCCATTGCCGAGATATTTTACCAAGTTTTCAAGAGTAGATATGGAAACGGTGCTGGTGGAATAGTCTGCCTTTGTATAGTTGCAGTTGCTATATTCTTCTGTGGCATGAGTTCGATCACAAGCAACTCTAGGTAATTTTTAATAATTCGATACTTTTTTCTTTTAAATCAAATTTTCTTCCTTTTTTTTGTGGAAAAAGAAATTGTGTGGAAACTTATTTGGTAATGTCGATTATCAGAATGGCGTATGCATTCTCAAGAGATGGTGCCATGCCATTTTCGGAGTTTTGGCATAAGGTGAACAAGCAAGAAGTCCCCATAAATGCTGTCTGGATGTCGGCATTGATAGCGTTCTGTATGGCACTTACGGTACTTTTTCCATCTCCCTAACTTTTTTATATTGAGGTTTAGTCTAATTTGAAAATATGACATTTGAGTGTGAAAGTATGTAGGTTTGTGTTGAAACAGTACGATTGTCTAACCATTAGGCAACCTAATAGAAGACCTACTGTCTTCTGCTATTCGCACTCGATAAAGAAAATATGACACTTGAGTGTGAAAGTATGTAGATTTGTGTTGAAGCAGTATGATTGTCTAACCATTAGGCAGCCTAACAGAAGACCTACTGTCTTCCGCTATCCGCACTCGATAAACTCCCGAAAAATCACGTGTCTCTTCACTCTTTCTACAAAATGCCTAATATGATAAATAATAATCATTTTCATTTACCCATATTTGCAGTCGCTCGGGAGCTTAGTCGCATTCCAAGCCATGGTATCAATAGCCACAATTGGGCTCTACATAGCTTACGCCTTACCAATCTTTTTCCGGGTGACCTTAGCTCGAAAATCTTTTAATCCCGGGCCTTTCAACTTGGGGAAATACGGAGTTCTCGTCGGTTGGGTTGCCGTTATATGGGTGGCAACAATTTCGGTCCTTTTCTCGTTGCCTGTTGAGTATCCCGTTACGCCCGAAACCTTAAACTACACACCAGTTGCTGTTGGGGGGCTTCTCATTCTTACGGTGTCTTCTTGGGTCTTCAGTGCTCGCCACTGGTTTAAAGGACCTATCACAAATATAAGTAGCTAAAGTTAGTTTTTATTTATTATTGTGCATTGTGTTCTTCTTCTTGGACTTTATGAAAAATATGTTGTGATAGAAATGTGGGTTAGTGGTGTTAGTGGTAATTTTATTTTTTGGGGCTTATTTGCAATTTGGGTCCCCATTATCATCTGTTAGCAATGAACATATTTATCAATTTATTGCTGATGTAAGGTAAAAATAAATAAATAAATAAATAAATAGTTTTATTACCGTTTACTTGGTCCCCATTATCATCTATTAGCAGTGGACATATTTATTTTGGTTATGTGTAGTAAAATTAGCTCTGATAAGTTAGTTTATAGCTTATTAATAATTTTCGAGAATGATGATGAACGGCTCGATTGAACTAGTAATACGATTCTCAAACAAATTCGAACAAAGAATTCAAATAGTTTGGCATTTGTTAACTCGGTCGAAACCAATAAAATGGTTTGGCAAAAAAAGCCAAAAAAACATTCAAGGCCTATATTTTTTTTTAAAAAAAAAAAAAAAAAGAAGAAGAAAGTTGTATGGTTAGTGATGATTTATCTTATTTCTCCACAATTTCACCAACACAATTACAAAATATAACTATTAATGTTTATTTTGGGGTAAATTGTAGTCTTGATATCTAAACTAAAGTTCATTTTGGAATCAGTACCCGTTTTTTAACATTTGCAAAATCAGTACCCAAACTTCCATTCTGTTAGCAACTTTAGTACCCGACTGTTAGATCTCCGTTAAATTTCCGTTAGTTGTTAACGGAAGTAGGCAAAATAGAAGGAAATTTGTATATTTGTTATTGGAAAATTATTATTGCAAGATATACTCCTTGAACTAGAAGAGAAACCATGTCTTCTCATTTTTCTCGATTTATTATATTTTTTTCAAAAAAAAAAATCGATTTTATCCAAAAAAAAAATCTTATAAATAGTGGAGGTCGCGTTTTTTTTTTTAAAAATGTACAAATGTCTTATGTATATGGATTTCATCATGAGCCAAAAAAATAAAAAAAATTCCTCCATTTTGCCTACTTCCGTTAACAACTAACTGAAATTTAACGGAGATCTAACGACCGGGTACTAACGTTGCTAACAGAATGAAATTTTGGGTACTGATTTTACAAATTTTAAAAAACGGGTACTGATTCTGAAATGAACTTTAGTTTGGGTATCAAAATTGCAATTTACCCTTTATTTTGCAATATTATCCAACTCATTCATATTTCTAACTCATTGTTTATTAATTAATATTTTATTTCTTTTATATCACTCGAACTTTAATATTGTAATTTTTATATTCATTCACAAGTATAACTCTCTTATCATTTTTTCTAAATATAACTCTCTTATCATCTTTATCAAATATATTGCTCTCTTGTCTATTTTCGAACAAACCATTTCCTTTTTGAAATTTCTTATACTCAATCACCACGGTAGACACTAATTTATTTATTAGTATATTCAGTAACTTTTTAATTACTATATTTATTTATTTATTCCTTGGGTATAAAAATTCAAAATAAATAAGACGTCTAATTAATAAAATGAATATTTCTTGACTACCAAGTCAAATCTGAAAATAATGGAAGAGAAAATATCAAATCATAAAATCAATGACGTCTTATCTCCAAAACTCTCCCTACTACAGACCTATAAATATGTGCACTACTCAAAACCAAAAACATCACATCTCACAATAAGTCTAAAATTCAAGAGTTATCAATAACTCTCTTGCAAATTCAAAGGCATTCTTGAGGATTTGAAGACATCCTGGAAGATCCACGGGCCTTTAAATTAAAGATCGACGTTGAACTTTGAATCAGTCCTCCGAAGTTCGTTCAATGGATAAACCTCCGAAGTCCTTTCAATGGATAAGAAGGTCAACATGAAGAAAAATAGTGGTGGTTCTCCCCTTTCAAAACTCTCTCCACTACACCTATCAATACGTGCTCTACTCAAAGTCAAAAATCACACCTCACAATAAGTCTAAAATTCAAGAACTTTCAAGAACTCTCTTGAAAGTTCAAAGGTATTCTTGAAGATTTAAAGACAATCTTGAAGATCCATGAGCATTCAAATTGAAGATCGACGTTTAACTTTGAATCAAGCCTTCGAAGTTCCTTCAATGAATAACCTCCAACGTCCTTTCAATGGATAAGAAGACTAGGATGAAAAAAAATAGGTGGTAGTTCTCCCCTCCACGAAATAAAGATGAGTCATCCTCTCATTTAAAATCAAATTAAAGAGGCCATCGACGTTCAAGGCAACAATCAACCTATGTTCTTTGTAAATTCAACCAAAATAGTGTTTGATTCGGGAAAAACTTTCATGCCATCGAGTCAATACTATTCAAGTCCAAATCCGTCTACAATGAACATCATAGGAAAAATTACGTCAACAAATCTTCTAATCAAATTAAGTCCTAATAATCAATTTGGAATAAGACATCTGCTCCCAAATTAATGTTTGCCAAATTTAAACTCAAGCTGAAAGAAATCCAAGCTCCTAATCCGTCTTCGATCATTCAAATCCAAGTTCAAGAAAAAGAGAAGAGTTAGATATAAAAGTAGAGATTGTACTCGCTTATCAATTTATCGAAATAAAATTAAGGTGTACAAAAAAAATTATTTATTTATCATAAAATTTATTGTCACAACACGTGTGTACCATTTTAATAGATTCCTTTGTATTTATATATAATTTATCATTTAGTTGCGGATACAATTTTTTAGAAGCTATGTCATCTTGATTTGATTTGAGAAGAGGAAACAAAAAAGTTAGCTTCATAGTCAATAAATGAAATGCAATTAATATTATTGTGACAACTTTTCATTAATAGTATTTTCGCGGCAAAATTTTAAAAATAATTCATTATATTGGCCATTTTCTAAAAAAGATCCATCATATAAGATGTCGTCAAGAATGATCCATTAAGTTGTCTTATAATTTCATGTCACACTGCATGGTTTTTATAATTTATGAACCTTTAGTGGCGGTTGGAAATAAGTTTTTTCTGGATTGCATTTTATTTATTGGATAAAGTATAAGTTAAGATTGAAATGGTTTGATTGAGTGAAAAATTGGATTTGATTTTTTTGTAAGTGGAAATGAGTTAAAATGAAATCATTAAAGTCTTTTTTTTTTTTTTTGGAAAACGATGGAAACTTTTATAAATATAACAAACATGTATATCTAGAGATAGCCAAACAATTGACTGAAGGAGCTAAATAGCCGAATCTAAAAGGAGGACAAACTCGGAGGTCGTCTAGAACTGATAATAGAACAAGAAAAACAGGATTTCAGAACTCCCAACAGGAGAATAAAACAACTCTCACACGGTAGAATACCAACTCCAACACAAACACAACAAAAAACATGCAACAAATGCAAAAACACAAAAACCACTTGAATAACACCCCACCCCGCCAGCCTAACAGCACTCCGGATCTACGCAATCTGACAACACCCAACCAACAAACAAAAGAGACCCAGCTCACAACCTAAGCACATGGGTCAAGAAACTCTCCCTACGGCTAACTCGACCCGGACCAACGGACTCGAACTCTCTTTAAAGGCCACCTAGGACAAATCCATTAGACTGGAACCAACACCCTCTTTGCCACATCAGGCGACTGTCGTAGCCCAAATACCACTGTCGTCGGAAGTAACAAATCGAGGAGCACGAAGCCCCAATCTCAAGCCGACAATTGCGCATAACCACCGTCCTAAGCCCCACACCCCACCCACGAACCAACACCCATCTGCATCACCATGGCATCCAGATATGGAAGAAATCCACTCGGCTTCAGCGATTGCGTGATTGCCTGAGGAACAACCTAATCAAAGACGTCCTGGAGACGGCTGACAACACAGGAGAGGAACCACCGAGAAGACCCTGCTCTGCCTTGATTAGGGTTTACCGACATGGGGAAAAAAGAGGAAAAGTCGCGAGGGGATGAGCGAGAAATAGGTCTAGTATAATTATTAAGTGCATATGATTAAAATAGTAAAATAATAATTGTAAACGGTCGATAGTTATAATATATTAGTGGATAAATAGTGAATTTTATTGAAAATTATATAATAATAATTTATTGATATTTATTTAATAATATTAATAAAATCATTACAATTAACTTGGATTAGATTAATATTGAATTTTGAGTTCAATTTTTTTTTTTTTCTCGTAGTATATTAGGAATTCAAAATTATTCGAAACTGCATCCAAACAGAGGGCTACGGTGCTCTACGGACACTCAAACGGCACACTTTTCTTCTTCTTGCAGATATACTCTATAGATAGTATAGGCATAGATAGATACACACAGACAGCAGAGGATAGCTTCGCTTCATCAATGGTACGAATCTCTTGCCCTTTTTGTACATTCTTCTATTCGTTCACAGAAATTTTTGAATTAAGCTGATTAGGGCACAAATTCGTAGGATGATTTAAACGAAGAATTTGAACCCCTCTTTGATTACACTCGCATTCAGCCGACCAATTTTGTTTGTCTCGATGGTAAGTTTTTTTTTTTTTTTTTGGGTTCAAAATCTTTTTATATAATCTTGTGTTTTTCTCCTTTATTGAACGGATTATTGTTGTGATTTTGGGAATTGATAGATGATAGTCTTGATGAATCGCCGATAATCATCCCGAAAAAGCGGAAAACCTCGGATGCTGAGGTGAAAATAAAGATCCCTTTTTTTTTGTGCTTTCATGTTGCTTTATTTTTTTGGCAATTAAACTTTTGTTAAATGGTGTTTTTTTGGCACATTTAGGAAGGAAATAAACTTAAGAAGGATGTGAATGCGAAAGATGTAATCTCGATTGACTGTGATGGTGATAGAAATGACAAGGCCGAGGATTGGATGCCACCACCACTACCAAAGGATTTAAATCGTAGTTGTAAGATTTTGGAGGATGATCCAACATTGAAGGCCTTGAGGTGTGCGGATAATGGGAATTATGTTCGTTGTTTTTTTTTTCTGCATATATTTTATTGAGTTTGATCGTTTTAGTATCACAGACATCATAATTTATACAATTTTAGTCATTATTTGCATACAATATATGACATACACTATTTGAATAGAACTTCATCTATGCAGTGAAAACAAAAACCTTTCTTGCTTGTTTGTTTTGATCGAAGTTACATGTTAAGAGAATGAATATTTGATCATTGCAATTTTTATTAGAAGTCATTGTAAATGCTCTTCTGTGAGTTGTGACTAGGTGGAGATGAATATTTGCCTTTGCTCATTCCTGGATACTCTGAGATGTAACTGCAAAACTTAATGATATCTTTTTTCAGACATTTATCTTATTCGCAATGTTATGCATTACCAGATACCGAACCTGGTGCTGTTTGCAATAGTCATAGAAAACGTTATTTCATTTTGACAAATCCTACAAGCATATATGATGTCGCTATTTAATAGTGTTTAGAAAAGATGTTTGTTTTGTCCACTTACTGTCTCTGAGTGCCTTGTTCTTATTAGATTAAAAAGGCAAGAACTAGCATCTTTTACCATGTCAGCCGATGAGTTGGTACGTGCTGTTGAAGAATCTGTAAAGAAAACCTTTAATGCTGAATCACAATCTCCTCCTCCTAAAACTGTCAATAAAGAGCCCCTAAAGCCTCCTAAGGAGAGGTCAAAACTTGTTATATCCATCCAAGACAAAGAAGGGCATAAGCAATTCCGGGTGTACAAGGTAATCTTACTAATTTAGTTCCTGGTATTTAATGAAGCTAAAATTTACAGCAGCTGATGGTTTTCCTGAAGATTAAGAGCTATCTGTGTTTTCACCATCCGAGTAGTGATCTAAAGAGATTTAAGTTTACCTTAGTCGTTAAAACTATGAAGTAGAGAATGATAAAACTATTCTACAGTTTGACACTGTTTAAGCCTTTTCTCAAGAGTTGTGAACATTTTTCACTTATGGGGCGTTTGTGTTAGGACTCGAAACAGCTATATAGCCTATCATTAGAGTGTCAATTCTCTTTCCTATATCATTTTTTAGCAAATTGGAGTGATTTTTTTTTTCTTTTTTGCCTTCAATAGTGTTATGACAGCAAAAATGCTCTTTTATGTAAAATATTTTATTTTTAATTATTTATGCATTGCCATAATCATGCAGGATGATAAGTTCGAGCGACTCTTCAAGATGTATGCAGACCGGTGTAAGCTTGATGTGAAGAACCTAGTTTTCTGCTTTGATGGAGATAAAGTTAGTCCATCCGAAACTCCTGATAGCCTTGGTATGGAGGATGATGACATCATTGAAGTGCATGTCAAGTCAGGTTGATCCCGGTAAATTGGATTTCTGGATGACTCGTATGAATTATCTCGTTCACTCCATCTTCGTTGATATCTTTTGCCCGGCAAGCGTAAGTTTATTGCCTTTTGTTTTTGGATGATTGGATAAAATTTTGTGAAAACTGCTAGTTGGAAATGAGCTTCCAGATTCTTGTTTTACATGAAAATTTAATCAATGATTTGTGTGCATTCAGATTGTGATGATGTTTGTATATGGGAAACTTGTAGCTAATGAGTAACCAAGTTAAACTTTATTAGTTTTTGTTGTTCTTTTTATGAAGACATTTGTTTTTGCCTTGTGGAAAATCTTGAAATTCTCAAATGTGTCAATTTAAATTATTGCATTGTGAAAGTAATTTAAATTTACTTATATAATGTACTTGAATATTTTTATTTATCATGTTGATAACTTATTTATACGTTGTTTAAAATGTACTTATCATGTCCTCCGCTGGGGGCGAGCTTATGGTTACATCACGATATTACTGGAGTGTCTTACCTTTGCAAGATTTTACGATAGTTTTTTTCGAAGACCTCGCCTCCCTTTCTTGTACCCAAAAAAATATACTTTTCACGTGTAAGATTGCTCGTCATATATTATGATAATTTTTTTTAACTCATATATAGTTCTTTTAGATATTTATTTAATTATAAGTAATAATTTTATTTTTCTTAATTAGAATTGATTGGTCGTTAAATTATGAGTTGTAATAGATGTGTTTTTATGTGTATTATATGGATGCCAATTCAAAGATTGTCAAAGCTATTAATTTGATAATATTATATGAAAATTTAGTAACAAGTAAAAATATTGTACGTTCTAGAATATATTAGTACGAATATATTAATATTACTCGTGTATTAAACGGAGTGTTTGAAAATTTAATATAATTAAAAATAGAAAAATAATTATACACCAAATAATGAATAAGTATTAGGATGAGAATTGTTTAAAATGACACACGCATTGTATTGTAAAAAATGTGATCATTTTAACTAAAGTTATAAAATTATATGCATCTAATACAATCAGTTTTGCTATGGAGTCATCCACACTTATTAACCAATAGTGTCTTTACACGTGTCCTACAATAAATACAATATGGACACGTGTCAACACATTAAGTGATGGATGACTCCATAAGAAAATCATTCGATGACTCCATAGAATTTTTGCTAATACAAATACTATTTACCACTTTGCTAATTTGAATTTTTGTTTCTAATTCTTTCCAACACATGATTACAGTTACAAAATTATATGTCTGATACAAATATTATTTACAATTATGCTAATTTGATTTTTTTTAATTCTTTCCAAATATGATTATATGTGATATGGACGTCAAATCAATGATCGTTAAAAATTATATTAATTTTTGAAAAATGAAATATAGATAAAAAAAATTATTTAATTTTTAAAATATGTTAGAAAAATATGGTATACATATACTGAATTCATATTTACCGCAACCATTTTACTAATACTGCATCCTAAAAAGACAGTTTTGCCCTTTATTCTTATTTAAATATATATGTCCCACCTACGTACATGTTTTTTGGGCCGGAATACTTGACGGGCTAGAGTCCACTCTGTGGCCCATACAATTCGTAGGAAATATTTAGGATATGTTCGGATTGGAAATCAACGAGCTCGT